TGCATTCAAGGCTAGCACTCTACCACTGAGCTACAACCCCAGGCCTTGTTTGTTCATCTTGTATCTTGCTGCTTTGATGAAGTTATTACCTCTAAAAGTGTAGGGGTGTCAGCAAATAGAGATAATTGAATCCTTTTCTATTTTTAACTCTTTAATATTCATCTCTTGCCTGATTGCTCTGGTTAGAGTTTCAAGTACTATATTGAATAGGAGTGGTGAGAGTGAACTTCTGTGTCTTATTTCTATTTTTAAAGAAAATATTTTCAGTTTTTCCCCACTTAGTATGGTATTATCTTTGTGTTTGACATATATAGCACTCACAATGTGGACACAAATTCCTTCTATGTCTAGTTTCTTCAGTTTTTGTTTGTTTGTTTGATTTTTAGTTATTGATGGACCTTTATTTATTTATTTGTTTGTATGTGGTGCTGAGAATACAAGCTAGCCAAGCACTCTACCACTGAGCCACAGCCACAGCCCCTCTTCAGTATTTTTAACATGAAGACGTACTGAATTTTGTTTAAGGGTTTTTCTGCATTGACTGAGATGATTATGTGATGTTTGTCTTTAATTCTATTTATGTGATATATTGCGTTTACTGATTTTCATATATTGAGCCAACCTTGCATCTCTGGGTGGAACCCACTTGCTCTATAATCTTCTTAATGTTTTTGAATGTAAATTGCTAATATTTTATTAATCATTTTTACATCTATGTTCACAGGCATACTGATATATAGTTTTGTTTCCTTGATGTGACTTTATCAGCTTTGGTATCAGGGTGGTACTGGCTTCATAGACAGAGCACATTTCTTGTCATTAGGTGAAGTAGGACTCTATATTTGATACAGAAAAATTATAAAATGCTAACCATAATAAATTAGGAGTTTAAAATAATCCATACCCCTAGACCAGAAAAATGTGTTGCATTTCCTTCTAGTCTGTTATCACCTTCCTCCTGCAGCCTGAAGGCTGCATGTTTCTCTTCTCTCCCTCTCTTTCCCTCAGGTGATGAACACAAGATTCAGGGGCCCCTGATTGTCCTCTCCATATTCCATTTTCCAGGTCAGTGGGCTCTCTGGCTCCCTCAGAGAGCAATTTCTCACTTTCTCCTCCCTTCTCATACCCCACTACTACATCCCCACTCCTCCCTCCTAGAGGATGAAATTCTTTCTCTTTTCATTTGGAAAAAAAAGTAGGGCTCAGGTGAGAACTGCCTCATAATCCCATTACAGCCCCCACGTTTGAAACTGTGCCACCAGGGACGGTGGAGGGTCTTTGCTGTCTGAGGCCACCTCTGCACTTGGGAACAAGGTTGGCCCTCCCTCCCCTGCATCATCACCTTCCACACTCTGTGGCTCATTTATTAACCTCTCTATAGAAAACAAAATTCCTCCTTAAAAATTCACCATCTATCCTATATCTCCCTCCCATACTGCCCCCAATTCTCTGATACACCTTATAAAGTGATGTCTGAGTCCTTTCTCTCATGTTGTCTTTTTAATCACTGAATTTTTTTTCTAGTGGAATTACAGCAACATTTCAAAGGTCAAATGCTTCTACAGGCTGTCTATAAAGACACATGACCCCAATCTTCCATGCAGCCCCATTTCCTGATCCCCAGAATTAGCCTGCTTTACTTCTTTTGCCTGATGCTGTGTCCCTAAATAGAATGTTAACAGGGCTCCTCCTTAGTTTTCCAGTTTCATGTGGCACTTTTAATGGACAGTTTCCATTCACAGACCCCTGTCCTCTCAACATTTTATAATTTCCATTAGATCACCATTTTTACATTCACTGACTATGCAGATGTTATTCACAGCCAGGTTTGTAGCTTTCATTACTTCGTTTCCTTGGACTGACTTTTTACCTTCCCTGCAATTAATAAAAGTGTTCTTCCTTCATTTGCTTAGTTTCTGTTGTTTTCATCACTGAGACTTTCCCAAACTCTCTCCCAGGGTCTCTGCTATGGTTTGAATGTGTGCTCCAAGGTTCATGTGTTGGAATCTTGATCTTCAATGTGTGGGGAGATGGGGCCTAATGGGAGGTGGGTAAGTATGAGAGTTCTGCTCTCCTAAATAAGTCAGTATGTTATTTTGGAAATGGGTTGATGCCTCCTACCTCTCCTGCCCTCTCTTTTGCCTTTACACCTTCTATCACACAAGGAAATAGCAGGAGGGCCCTCGCCAGTACCATGACCTTGGACTTCCCAACCATAATAATGGTGAGAAAATAAAACATCTGTTCTTTATAATTTCCTCAATGTGTGGTGTTCTGTTAGAGCAGCCAAAAGACTAAGACAGTCTCCACCAGTACATTAAAGTATAACTAGGACTTCACCAATTTGGTCTTTGTGAAGACACTTGTCCTAGAGCTGGATTGTGAAGCCACACCTGGACTGGATGCCTTCACAATGGAGCAAGGCTGACTCCCTGGATCTGCTTCACCTCATGGGAGAACTTGGCCTCCCTCTCTTGTGCTGGCTCCCTATTAACTTCATCCCATCTGTCCCCTTTCCTTGGTTTTCTCCATCATTTTTGTTTCTCACTTCATTTAGCCACATCCTATAGGAACATGGAGCAAAAAAATATTGAAACCCTAAACATCTGAAATGTCCTTAGCACACCCTAGCTCTAAGTCCAACTTTAACTTAGTACAGAATTCTGTGTTGAAAATATTTTTTCTTTGAATGCACCTGATATGGCTTCAACATTGTCTAGCTTCCAAGGCTGTCTTTCTTGCCTCTTGAAATGTTCAGGGTTTCTTTTTTCCTACCTAATTTCTGAAATTTCATTCTAATCTATCTTGGCGTGGGTCAGTTTTCCTTTGTTTTGTGGCAGTTCAAATGTAATTGGGGGGGGGGGGGGGTGCTGTAAACACTGAGAATTTTTCTTGAGATTTTAAAATCATTCCTGACTCTCGATTTTGGAATTCATCTTGTTCAGTTGTTGAAAATCCTTTATTGATGCCTTGTGCTCTTATAGTTCTTCTGTCTTCCTTACCTCTATTTTTCTAGCTATACAACTTCTTTTCTGGTACTATTTTAATTGTTCAAGTCATCTACAGACTTATTCACTTCTGTGACCAGTTTTTAATTTCTAAGAACTTCTTTGTTTTCTTTCTACATATAATTGCACATAATTCCTTTACTTGTTTACAAATACCATATCTTTTTACATGTTTTAGCAATTACTGAGAGTAGTGGCAGTGAATCAAGCAAAGAAGCTGGGAGCAGTTGGGATCTCTCCACAGTTTACTCAGAGCAGCAGTTCTCAAAGTGTGATCTGTGGAACCCTTGGAGGTGTTCAGACTATTGCACAGGACCTATATCTTCAAAAAAAAAACATTTTTATAATATCACTGAAACATTACTTACAATAAAGTAAAACTTGGCAAAGTGGAAGCTATAGTACCAAATTGTAATCATAGTTATTGTATTCGTGAGTACCTTTTAACTGCAGAAGGGAAAATGTGCCAGTTCACTTAGACATGTCCTGAATGAAGTGTTAAAAATCATTACCTCTGGGCTGGGGTTGTGGCTCAGTGGTAGAGTGCTTGCCTTACATGTGTGAGATACTGGGTTGGATCCTCAGCACCATATAAAAATAAGTAAATAAAGATATTACGTCCACCTATAATTTAAAAATATATATATATATATTAAAAACATTAACTATATTAAATCTTCATTCCATAGTCCATATTATAAATACATTTATTTTTGATAGAATGGGAAGTGCACATAAAACACATTTGCTACATTCAAAAGTCGGGTGTTTGTGTCAACAAAAGCCATTTAGTGCGTTGTACGACTAGCCCCATTTTATGGAATATCATTCCTGCTTCAAAGAATGAATGACAGGGGAAGTATTCCTTAGACTTCAATATTTGGCCAACAACCTGTCCCTTCAAGATAATCCACAGACAGCAATATATTCAATGATAACATGTATGTTCTCAAGAGAAAATGAGAATCTGGGCAAACCTGTATCTACCACTATTAACCTGACAGACTCCCAAGTACTTACAACACTTTCTGGTGAAATCTGTGGTGATATCAACATATGACCTCTTGATTATTTTCACTTAAATATGTTAATACTAGAAGGTTTATATAACTTGGTCAAACAATGCATGACTAAGAAATATCATGCATCAGCACAAGATCCATTCAATGTGAAGACACACCCACAGACTTTAATGAAATAGAATATGAACTATTCAAAGATAATGTTTCAGGATCCTCATGGCAAAGAACCTTTAAGAAGCTAACACTTGTGTCATTTTAGTGTAGTATCAAAGATGAATATCGGTTATGTTATTAAAAACATTCCTCCTATATATTTGTGTGGCTGTATTTTTTGTTTCAATCAAAATCACAGGTTAAATGCAGAAAATATGAATATCTAGCATTCTCTATTGACAAAAAGAACTTTCAAAATTGTAAAAAATAAAATGATCCATTTTTATTAAATCTTTTCATTTTGGAAAATAGTTATTTCTCTTTGAAACTACTGTTTCTGTTAACATGCAATTAGTTATTAATATTAAGAAGGAAGAGCATATCTCTTAAATGGAATTAATTTCTAAAGTGGCAAATATTGATAGACATAATGCATAGAAACTTGATTACCTCTGATTACTACTTTCTAGAGCATATAAAGATTCTGAAACCAAAAATTTGAGAACTGCTGATTCTACACCTTGAGGCAGGAATCAAGGTGAGGGTGTGTGTGACCAAGGACGACAGTACAGAGTAGGGTTCTGGGCAAAGTCCCAGTCCCGGGCGTGGCTCTCAGGGTCTAGAGCGGTGCCTGGGGTGTAGACACTGAGCACTGGGGATTTTCCTCTGTCTGGAGTTTCACTTCTTCTTCTCCCAACCCGTGTCAGGTCGTTCTGCCTGGACACTCCTGACGCGGCCGCAGGTCTCACTCCCATTGCATGTCTTGCTCCTAGAGAAGCCAATCAGCGTCACCGCTGTTCAGGTTTTAAAGTCCCCACCCGCCGGCCAAGTCGCAGAATCTCCCCAGAGCTGCAGGATGCGGGTGATGGCCCCACGAACGCTGCTCCTGCTCCTGTCAGGGGCCCTGGCCCTGACCGAGACCTGGGCGGGTAAGTGCCAGGTGGGGAGGGAAATGGCTTCTTGCGCGGGAGGAGCGAGGGGACCGTCCTGTGAGCGCTCAGGAACCGGAGGAGCTGTGTCCCCGCTGCTCCCAGCCCAGATCCTCCCCACTCTGGTGCGGTTCATCCTGACCCTCCACTCCCGCCCCTAAGTCCTGCCCTCCCGCGTCCCACCGACCCCTAAGCTTCTCTAGACCCCAGTCCTCTCCTCCTGGCGTCGTCAACCTGGGACCTGGGTCGGGCGCCTAGAAGAGGATCCCGGGGTCTCAGCGGCTCCCTTCCCCAGGCTCCCACTCTATGAGTTATTTCTACACCTCCGTGTCCCGGCCCGGCGGGGAGCCCCGCTTCATCGCCGTGGGCTACGTGGACGACTCGCAGTTCGTGCGCTTCGACAGCGACGCCGAGAATCCCAGCGCGGAGCCGCGGGCGCCGTGGATAGAGCGGGAGGGGCCGGATTATTGGGTTAGGAACACACAGATCTTCAAGGACACCGCGCAGGATTACCGAGTGAACCTCAACAACGTGCGCGGCTACTACAACCAGAGCGCGGGCGGTGAGTGACCCGGGCCCTCTCGGAGGTCGCGACCCCTCACGTCCCTCGCGGACGGCCCCGAGTCGTCAGGGTCCCCGGCCGAGCTTCACCCCAAGGTTGAGGGACCCGCGGGGACCCCGACCCAGACAGCGCCCGGGGACTGTGACGGTTTCGGTTTCAGTTTAGGGAGAACCCGGGGCGGGCGGGCGGGCGGGGCGGCGGCTGACGGGGCGCGGGGACAGGCTCTCACACCCTCCAGAGGATGTACGGCTGCGAGGTGGGGACCGAGGGGCGCCTCCTCCGCGGGTACCGTCAGGACGCCTACGACGGCAAGGACTACATCGCCCTGAACGAGGACCTGCGCTCCTGGACCGCGGCGGACACGGCGGCTCAGATCACCAAGAGGAAGTGGGAGGCGGCGGGTGACGCGGAGCACCGCAGGGCCTACCTGGAGGGCACCTGTGTGGAGTGGCTCGGCAGACACCTGGAGCACGGGAAGGAGACGCTGCTGCGCACAGGTGTGAGGGGCTTCACCTGCCTGATCCCCTGTAGGTCCCTCCTAAAGCTTCCCACAGGAGGGAGGAGAATGGCGCCCACACTAGACACCTCCTGCTCCTTGTCCAGGGGGAGGGAGTGGCCTGGACCCCCAGGGGCTGCCCTAGAGAGGAACTGAGGCCGCTGTCTCTCAGGACGAGTGAGGGATCCCGTCTCTCTCTCCCTGGCGGCTGGGAAAGACAGTAAATACCCAACCACAGGTCCCGGTCAGCAGCCTGGACATCAGGGACAGACTGTCAGGTCCACTCCAGCCTAGTGTCCTGGGAGACCTGACTCCAGCTTTTCCACATGTCTCAGCCTCTACCCAGACCAGAGTTTGAAGTCCCTCTTACAGACCTGAAACCTCTTACACTAGGTTGCCTCAATATGATTCTAGAACTTTCCAAGGAATACATTATGCGAGAATCCTGCCTTCTGGTTTGGGTCTAGGTTTTGTGCTCCTCCCCACCCCAATCATGTTGTCCATTCTCAGGAGGGTCATGTGAGTCCTTCAGTGGCCCAAGAGGAAATGCCAAAATGTCTGAATTTCCCTATTCTTTCCCTCAGACCCCCCGAAGACTCATGTGACTCACCACCCTACCCCTGAAGGGCATGTCACTCTGAGGTGCTGGGCCCTGGGCTTCTACCCTAAGGAGATCACCCTAACTTGGCGACGAGATGGGGAGGACCAGACCCAGGAGATGGAACTTGTGGAGACCAGACCTTCCGGGGATGGAAACTTCCAGAAATGGGCAGCTGTGGTGGTGCCTGCTGGAGAGGAGCAGAGATACACCTGCCGTGTGCACCATGAGGGGCTGCCCAAGCCCCTCACCCTGAGATGGGGTAAGGAGGGGATGAGGGCACAGAAACTGTTGTCAGGAAAGCAGGAGGCTTTCTGGAGACCCTCAGCAGGGTAGGGACTGAGAGCTGGGGATCAGGGCCCCTCACCTGACTTCCCTTCCTCTCCCAGAGCCACCCCCTCAGGCCACCATCCCTGTCATGGGAATTGTTGCTGCTGTGATTGTCCTTGTTGTCACTGGAGCTGTGGTCGGTTTTATCTTGTGGAGAAAGAAAAACACAGGTAGGGAAAGTGCAGGGTCTGAATTTTTGTCCCACTGGTGGTTTCAAGTACCTGGTAGAAGTGTGTCCTGCCTTGTTCATGGGAAGTAATATCTACTCGTGTCCTTACCCAACCTGGAATCTGTTTACTTTTTGTAAAGTGCATAGAAACTAAAGGACAAATATATCCTCTTGATGTTTGTGGTGATGGGACCTGATTCCCAGCATTTAGAGGCCAGAGGGAAATCTTCCTGCTGAGGAAGAACTCAGGAGAGTAATAAGCTCCATCTTTACGCATCTATTTTCTTCTTGTCTCCTGATCCTTTCCTACATCTTCAGTCACAGTTCTGGAGACTTCCCCAGTGTCCAGGACTAGGGTGTACCTCTAAGACCTGTTTCTAACCTGCTCTCTCACAAGATGTTTTCTTCCCACAGGAGTAAAGAAAGGGCCCTATGCTCCAGCTGCCTGTAAGTATGAAGAACACTGATCTCTGAGGCCCATGGGACAGTGTAATGGGGAGCAATGGGGGAGTTGGTCTGTCCCATAATTCCTCCATTACCCACATCTCCTGTGGGCTCTGACCAGGTTCTGTTTTTGTTCTGCTCAGGTAATGACAGTGCCCAGGGCTCTGATGTGTCTCTCACTGCTGAGAAAGGTGAGACCCTGGAGGGCCTGGAGAGGGAGGGGGTTGGGGAATGAGGAGACTGCTGGGTTACAGGGACTCTCACAGGGATTTGTGACATTTTGAGTGTTTAATGGGTTGTTCAGAGTGTCTCCATTACAAGGAGTGATCTGAATCTGTTCATAATACTTTCTTTTACAGTGTGAGATACTACCATCTGTGGGACTGAGCAGTACAGGATTTCTTCAGTTCCCTTCCTGCTCTCTACTGCAGTTTCAAGAGTTCCTGGCTACTCTTTGTGCAGCTGGCATCTGATTGTGTCTTTGTGTCTGTGTTCCTACAATCATAATGTGAGGCAATGGAGAGAGGAGCACATCCCTGATCACCAGGACCCCTCCTCACAATGTTCTCTTCCTCAATCAACTTTCCTATATAGCTGATGTGGGGCCGGGATGTCTTCATTCCTGATTTAGCTTTATGTTGCTCTGAACTGTAGCGTCTTTCTTCCCTTTTGGAAAACAGAATGTGGATATTGATTGTGTTTCAAGTTTGTGCCACAAAATATGTTGATGGGTTAATTAAATGAGAAGAGGATTCCTAAAATTTCTGAGAGAAAATAAAACCTGAAACCTTCCAGAATCCATGTGTTTGCTGTGCCGAGTCTGCTGCAGGTGGGGACAGGAGACGGATGAAAGGAGCTCCAGCAGGTGGACAAGGTGGCACCTAGTCTGTGCTCAGTTCATCCTGGGCCTTTGTGGTCACTCTCAGCTGGATCAGTTTTACTGCTCCTTAGTCCTCGTCCATTCAGTTGAACCTCATCCCAACAGGACCTCTGATGACGGGTAGCATCACCAGGGCTGGTCCTGCTCCAGGACCTTGGCCAGGGAGGGCATCAGGCCACTGGGTTAACATAGCACGAGACCTGAGTCTGACCTTCTGCTCCCATCTTTTTTTGTTTCTCACTTTTCACAAAGAATTATCCCTGTTCTTGTTAGTAAGTTTGGGTTCTGGTCTTGTTCTATTCTGGGTGTCTCTCAACTGTGACAGCAGAAGTTCATTTTTTCTGTCATTGACCCACAAGACCCAGGGAAGTTTCCTGGATTGTTTTTCCTATCATTCCTCCAGTATTTTTAAAGGAACCAGATTATGGGAACAGCAGAGAGGAAGGATCTCATGAGTTCTCATCTCAGATAAATTCCTCTTAGGCTTCCATCTTCTCTAACTGAGCAGTTTCACTGTCCTTAATACTCATCCCAGAACTTGCTCCATTACAGATTCCTGGATTGATAAAACAGAGTCTAACAGAGGTTTATGTTTATTTGGAAAATATGACCCATTAGTTAAGGATCATGAAGATCAAAATGTCCTTAGCAGCTCTGGAGAGCAGGAGGGCTGGTGTGGAGGGATGAAGGGCAGCATTTGTGAGAAAAGCCCAAATGGCCCCGATCTCAGTGTGAGAAACCCTTGACTGCAGATGCCACAGCAGCATTTGATCTGAAATTCCTTTAATAAAGAAGGAGGAGTTGACACTGATCATTCATTCATCTCTCATTTGTTGAGTACTGAGTAGAAGATACACAGTTTTCACCTAGAATACATCAGGGAAATGAAAACAGGCCTGTGTTCTATAGGAAAGCAGAAGAAGACACATTGTATGCAGAGTAAGTAATGACAGTGTTCATGTTAGGTGGTAAGTGTTGCAGGGTAGGTGTGAGAGTGGGTGTGTGTGGACAGGGAAGATGGTTGTTTTACTAGGGTGCTCAGCATGGCATTTTTTAGCAAGGTGATAGATTTGGAAGATGTAAAGCAATTTGTCATGAAGATGTTTGGAGGAAGAACTTTCTAGGCAACAGGAAGTTGTAGTGCAAATGCACCAGGGCAGGATCCTGTGTGTATGTTCTGAGGAGAGTGAGGATCTGAGATGTCCAAAGCAGAGTCACTGAGAGGAGCTCAGAGACATGGCCAGTCACAAGATCTGGAGGTAGACAGAAAGAATCTTGCATTGAGTGAGGCATTTTTGACAAGGAAGACACGGTGCATCTTTTCAAAGCATCATGCTAACTTCTGAGCCAAGAACAGAATCAAGACGGGAGGACTAACAAGGCAGCAGGGAAACTCTGGGGAACTAGACACTCCTATGTTGGAGATGTTGGTCATTTCCACTGGTGTATGAGCAGGGGAAATAGTGGAAGTGTTTGGATGCTGCACACATTTTGAAGATGGAATTTACAACACTTCCTAATGAACTTAATTGAGTTTGAGAAAAAGGAAGTAAGAGAACACCAAAAATTTGTGACACTGTAATTAGAAAGGTAAGAGTTATATCAACAAAGAAGGGAAGATTGTCAGAAGCATAAGTGAAGACAGGACTTTGCAGGCACTCCAGTGGAGATGTTGAGCTGAGGTGTTCAAACTGCTATACCAATAGCTGATAACCAAAGTGCTCTCAGCAGACCCAAGGGCTTGATGTAAATATGCATTTTTTGCTTGACTGGTGTCAGTCTGGGACAAGGTGTGGATAGAAGTGTCCTTGCTCACTCTCGCTTTCTGTGTGTGTCTTGTTGTGGGTTGGTAACAAACATTTCACAATCCAGTGCTAGCACACTTAGTACACATTTGAGTACCATTGCTGTAGAAAGAATAGTGTTCCAGCCTCTGCCCTGGTGTCAGATTAACAGCAGGAAGAAATCAGCAGTTCCTGGTGATTAAATTTTTAGTAACATGATATTATGGTTGCCTCTTCCCTTAAAATCAGCTAGAAAGAAGACATAAAACAGAAGAAGCATCCAAAAGGGAAGAAGATAACAATTCTTTAACTCAAAATATAAATGTGGGCAGAAATTCATGGGGGAAAAAAAGTTGCTCTCATCCCAAGGCATTTGCCCAAACTGGAAAAATCTTAGCTTTGATTTTTTTTTAAGACTCAAGGTATAATACTGTGTTATATTTCCATTAGTATAACCAAATACCTGAGATAATTCACTTATAAAGAAGAAAGGTTTATTAGGGCTCACAGTTTTGGAAAATGAAGTCCATGATTGGCCCTGCCACTTTACTCCTGTAGTGAGGCAGCACATCCTGTTGGGAGCACTGGGCAGAGCAAAACCCCTCACTCCTCACCAGTGAAGGAGAACAAGAAGGGGACAAGGGTCCAACAATGTCCTTCAAAGGCACAACCCCAGTGTTCTAAGTACCTCCCACTAGGCCCCTCCTCTCAAGGATTTCACCATTTTCCTCTAGCACCACCCAGGGACCAAGCCTCTAGCACATGGGCTTTGGGAACACTGAGCCTTCAATCATAACAAGCACAGAGGTAATGATCCTCAGAGGTACTTTGAATAGGAATTATAATAGGAGACATTCTGGCTTTCTGATAAATCTAAGAAACAAAAAATTTGTATCCTCGAGACCTGGCCCAGATCCACCTTCTCTGAGCTGCACCCATGGTAGACCCAGGTCCGTCCAACCACTGGCAGATACCTGGCAGAGCTAAGGCCCAGGCCCAGGACCACCTTCCCAGACCTCCTGGAGCCTGGGCCCAGGGTAGGCCCAGGTCTACCCCACACACATACCTGGGAATCCAGGCCTAACCCACTTCCACCTTGGGATACTGAAGCCATCCATAGCCTCTCCATGCAGTAGCCTCTACATTGCAACTACAGAAAGGATCTAGAAGCAGCTGCATGTAGGAGCAGGCATTCCAAAGCCATTGTAAGGACCACCCCTTTAGCCTCATCTCTGAAAGATGTTGCATCCATCTTGGGGCACCTCCATTGCTATCTCGAGTTACCTCTGCTCTCGCCACCACCACCTACAGTTGCAGTAGCATCCATTGAGGGACACTGGCAGGGTCTGGAAGCCCAACACCAAGGTAAAGTACAGATAATCTGCACAGATACTACAAGATTATAGGGTAGAAACTCTAATACCTCAGATCCACACTGCAAGAAAGGAAGACACATAGACAACATGAAAAAACAAGGGAGGACACTGCCTCAAACAAACCAGGATACTATAAAAACAGAACCTACGGACAGCACAGTTGAGGAAATGTCAGAAAAGGAGTTCAGAATGTTCATAATTAAAATAATCTGTGAATTAAAGAATGACCTAAATGAGCAAATACAGGCAAAAACTGATCACTCCAACAAAGAAATAAGAAAGCAAATACAGGCAATCACTGATAACACCAAGAAAGAGATAAGGGAGCAAATACAGGTAGCAAAAGATTATTTCAAGAAAGAGATAGAGATTCTGAAAAAAAAAAGCAATCAGAAATCCTTGAAATAAAGGAAACAACAAACCAAATAAAAACCTCTATAGAAAGCATCACTACCAGACTAAATCACTTGGAAGACAGAACGTCAGATAATAAAGACAAAGTATACAATCTGGAAAATAAAGTTGACCACACAATGAAGATGGTAAGAAACCATGATCAGAACATCCAAGAATTATGTGATAGCATCAAAAGACCCAATATAAGAGTTACAGGGATAGAGGAAGGCACAGAGTTTCAAACCAAAGGAATGCACGATCACTTCAATGAGATAATATCAGAAAATTTCTCAAACATGAAGAATGAATTGGAAAACCAAATCAAGAGGCTTACAGGACACCAAATGTACAAAATTACATCAGATTTACACCAAGGCACATTATAATGAAAATTTCTACCATACAGAATAAGGATAGAATCTTTTTAAAAATATTTTTATTAGTTGTTGACGGGATCTTTATTTTATTTACTTATTTATTTATATGTGGTGCTGAAGATCGAACCCAGTGCCTCACACATGCTAGGCAAGAGTGCTACCATTGAGCCACAACTCCAGCCCCAAGGATAGAATCTTAAAGGCCCCAAGGGAGAGGAATCAGATCACATATAGTGGGAGACTAATTCGTATCCCAGCAGATTTTTCAACCAAAACCCTCAAAGCTCTGAAAGAAAATGGATGCCAACCAAGAATCATATCCAGTAAAATTAAACTTTAGATTTGATGATGAAATAAAAACCTTCCATGATAAACAAAAGTTAAAAGAATTTACAACTAGAAAGCCTGTACTACAGAACATCCTCGGCAAAATATTCCATGAAGAGGAAATGAAAAACAACAATGAAAATCAGCAGAGGGAAGTATTACACTAAAGTAAAAAAACTAACCAGAGGAGAAACCAAGTCATGTTAAATACCAAAAATAAACAAAAATGGCTGGGAATACAAATAATGTCTCAATAATAACACTGAATGTTAATGGCCTAAATTCACCAATCAAAAGACATAGGCTGGCAGATTGTATTTTATAAAAAGATCCAACAATATACTGCTTCCAAGAGACTCATAGGAAAATACATCCACAGACTGAAGGTGAAAGGTTGGGGAAAATCATACTACTCACATGGACTGTGGAAGCAAGCAGGGGTTTTCATCCTCATATCAAATAATGTAGACTTCAAGCTAAATTCAATCAAAAGGGATAATGAAGGACACTTCATACTGTTCAAAGGAACCATATACCAACAACACATAAAAATTATAAAGATCTATGCCCCAAACAATGGAGTATCTGCATTCATCAAACAAACTCTTCTCAAGTTCAAGATCAAATAGAACACAAAACAATAACTCGGAATGACTT